AGTGCTTGGCCTTATTGCCATGCACTCAAAAGGCCGATTGGGCTTATCATCAGGAGATGTCTTATTTTGGGGGAAACAGGGTACTTGTTGGGGATGAAGGATTTTTTCCCTTTTTTGGGGGAGGCTTTTTTTCCTGCACTTTTAAAATATTGATTTCTTTTAAAAATATTTTATGAGCTTCCTGTGTTAATTTTATCTTTTTAATATAATCTTTAATAAAATTATTCAAAAAGTAAATCATCTGAGCCTCCAGGCCCAGCCTCTTTCCAAGTTTTTCAAAGTCTATGGTAATATTTCGTAGCTGTTCTTTGCGATATTATTTTATCCCTAAGTGTGTCAGCAGAAAGGAATAACTTATCAGTTGAATCACTTGGAACTTGTTCTGTTACCCACTTGTTCCTTGTTCCTAGAAGACAGCTTGCTTCATGAGTTGACAGATCTGCCTATATACCTTTGTTTCAATAGCTCCTAAGAGTGAATCTTCTCATCTTCTTATACTGCATAAACAGGGATGTGGTGACTCAGTGGCTAAGACTCCGAGCTTGTCAATTGAAAGGTCAGCAGCTCAGCGGTTCGAATCCCTAGTGCCGTGTAACGGGGTGAGCTCCCGTTACTTGTCCCAGCTTCTGCCAACCTAGCAGTTCGAAAGCACATAAAAAATGCAAGTAGAAAAATAGGGACCACCTTTGGCATTTAGTCATGCCGGCCACATGACCACAGAGATGTCTTCGGACAGCACTGGCTTTTTGGATTTGAAACGGAGATGAGCACCATCTCCTAGTCGGGAACAACAAGCATATATGTGCGAGGGGAACCTTTACCTTTACTTTTATACTGCATAAACATTTTGTCTGCACCATTTTTTTCCTTAAACACCCATAGACTGTTTCATCTGCGAAGGTTGGAAAGCTGTTAAGAGTTTGAGCATTACAGAAAACCTTCTGTGTATCTTGTTTCTGGTTGTTATTCTCACCCACTCGCTTTGCTATTCTATTTGTCTTAGAATAGCTAAGTTGTAGAGCCTCCTTTCTTTGAAACGATAAATCCTCACCGTTTCTCATCAGCTGAATGTAGCTACTTGCTGCTCCAATCTTGTGTCTTTTTCTACAAGGATTTTTTTTTTTCATTTGCTGTTAACACAACCCTAGCTGTTTTCAGGGCAAGAAGATAAAGATGCCAGAAGCATGGATGTCACAACAACATTTTCACTTTTTCTTCATTCTTCTCTGTACTATCAATTACAGAGAGGCTTGTATTTCTTATTCCTTTCTCTGTCTCTCTTCATTTTACTCAAATACAAACTCTAAATTTACAAGGACTTCCTCTTCTTCAAGTAAATTCTTGCTAGCTCTGTTAACTCAATCAGGCACTGCTGCCTGAATCTATCCAGCTTATATCTATCTTAAGCTGTTCCATAAGCAGGAATCAGTCAGCCAGTCTCTACAATGGGCAATCAGCAACTCCCAGGACATATCAACTATTCAAGTGTGTTCCTCTCCCCAGCTCTGCACACAATCCCTCAAGAGACACAGCCCTTTTGTCACTTTTGTCTCTTCCTCCCATTAAAACTCCCTGACCAAATTCCCACAGGTGTAGATTCAACATCTAAACCGAATCTAGTTCTCCGCTCCAACCTATACCAATTTTGTGGTTGGAAGAAATCACGAGCCAACAAATTGAGCTATTTTATTTCTATTATTATTATTTCTATTAGGAATAACAAGAGGAAACTACAGTAAGAAAATTCAATACATGATAGTGCATATAACAACGGCGGCCAGAATTGCCTATGCGCAAAACTGGAAACAGGACAGCATACCCTCCAAGAGAATGGTGATCTAAAAGGTGTTAGTCTGCGCTGAGATGGACAGGCTAACATTGGAATTAAAAGAAAGTGGGGAAATGGAATATTATTTAGTCTGGGACATGTGATACAAATGGCTTGAGAATAGAAGTAAAGATGAAAAGTAAAAGGTAACTTAAGAGGAACACTAAAATTAAAGACAATGTATATAGTTAAATGAAGAATAAGAAATTTAATGTATGTTATGTATGTATGGTTTTATCAATGCTGGAACGCTGTAAAAATTGTAAATGTGATATAAAATGATGAAATATGTTCAATAAAAACATTTATAAAAAAAATACCAATTTTGGTTTTTAAAAATTGTATCCCCCAAATTGTAACAAGCAGCCTAAATTGGGGAGTGGGGGATGGGCTTTTTGATGCAATACCTACATTAATCCTTAACCCAAGAGGTACCTTAAGGGCACCCCATTTTGCTGATTATAGTCTTCCTTAGAAGCAAGTCCTGCCAAATTCAATTGGACTTACTCCTGTATAATTGTACTTAAAATTGCAGCTTTAAAAAGCATGCTCAATGCTTAATCTTTCATCTTTGTTTCTACATGTGTTGACTTGCCTCAGTTACCTTACAAGATATAAAGTGAGTGTTCAAATGCTATTTATTTTTGTGCATGTGTACATATGACTTCTTTATAATTATATTGAAACAATTATTCAAATAATTTTAATTGTTAATAAAGGCATGCATTAGCATCCTGTGTCCACCTTCCATTGCCAGCATGCCCTTCTTCTGCAAAACTCTCCCTTACGTGCAAATATACATATTTAGTAGATGGCATTAATGGGCAGATTATTTAAATGCATCAGACTTATTTCTACTAGATTTAAATAGATATATAGCCGAAAAAAAAGATCAACTACAATTACATCTAAAGCTTTATAGATAGCAATTAGTTTTTATGCAGGCAGATGCTTGAAGGCCTGAGGAGATCCCATAAGAGGCTACCTACTACAAAAACCTAGAAGCTTTTAGTCTGATGATTAAAATACCTCAGTTGAGAAGCCAAGACAGAAAATTAAACATAGGTTCAGGGAGGATACATAAAAAGATGTTTTTGAAACTATTTCAGGTGAAAGCTTATCTCTGGATAGCTAAGATTTGTTAATTGGATTTTTAAAACATTAAAATATTTTATTTTAAATTTATTTTTAATGACTCATGGAATTGACATTTAAGTATAAGAAAAAGAAAATATAAGAAAAATTAGCTCATACTACAAATTAGGTAATTCTAGAAAAACAAGATGAGTTTATATATGAAAAATTAAGATGTGTCAATAATTTTAAAAATTATACTTTCAAAGAAGCAAACTGAAAGAATAGCTGTCAATTTTGAAATGAACGCGTTCCCCAGGGGAAGGCCTAATCCAGTTGACAATCACGCTTCTCTCAATGGATGCTTAACACAATCCTTTTATGCAGAGCTAACTCATAACAAGACAGTCCCCAGACAGCTAGACTCTAACCATTAAGACTAAATCAACACCTTGACCTGTGTATAAAACTTAATAGGCAACAGGGCAGATCTTTCAATATCATAATGATTATAATTATAATATACCAGTTGGCAGCCTAAATACTGCCTTTTTCATCAACTGTATCTTCCCAACACTCTTCAAAAGTAAAATGCAGAATATTTTACAATAGTCTAATGCAGTGGTCCCCAACCCCCGGTCCGTGGACCGGTGCCGGGCTGTGGAGTACCTGGCACCGGGCCGCGCAGCGGCCGGGGGACATGAACGCTGCAGCGCACGGCCCAGGAGCCTTTGCGCTGCAGCGTTCATGTCCCCCGGCCGCTTTTGCGCACTGGGCCGTGCGCAAAAGCTCCTGGGCTGTGGCCCCACCCCTGCGCGCGCTCAGCGGGCCGCGGCGTTAAAAAGGTTGGGGACCACTGGTCTAATGGATCACAATTTGCAGAGCCTGAAATAATGGCTCTGTCCCATTAATGTACCAACCAACCAAATGCAGGCATTTATTTAAAAAAGGCTTTGGAAAACTACCAGGAGCCCTGGTAGCGCAGCAGACTAAAGCAGACTAAAGCACTGTTATTAACACCAGCTGCCTGCAATTACTACAAGTTCAAATCTGACCAGGCTCAAGGTTGACTCAGCCTTCCATCTTTTCTAAGGTAGGGAAAATGAGGACCCAGATTGTGGGGGCAATAAGCTGACTTTGTATAAAATATACAGAAGTATATTTTAAAAGTATATATAGGAGCCTGGATAGGTCTGCAGACAAAGCACTGTAATTTAACACCAGCTGTTTGCAATTAAAGTAAGTTCGAATCTTGCCAGGCTCAAGGTTGACTCAGTCTTCCATCCTTTCTAAGGTAGATAAATTGAGGACCCAGTTTGTGGGGGCAATAAGCTGACTTTGTATAAAATATACAAAAGTATGAAGGCTATTGCTTAACGCATTGTAAGCCACCCTGAGTCTCTGGAGAAGGGCAGCATATAAATCAAATTTAAAAAATAATAATAATAAAAAAAAATACTAAAAAAAAAAATAAAGTATGAAGACTATTGCTTAACGCATTGTAAGCCGCCCTGAGTCTCCGGAGAAAGGCGGCATATAAATCAAATAAAAAAAAAAACCTTAATTACCAGCTCTTGCTGCTAACACAACAAAAACATTGCAAATGGAACTGAGCCAAGCTGTCAAGGTATAAACAAAATCGGAAAAAATATTTAAAAGCAGACTGAAAAAGAAGCATCATAAGAAAAGCCGTCATATATTTTCACTGCATTAACTGCTTGACACACATAATGGATGCTGTAAATTGTTTCTTGAATTAAGGTTTCTAAAATAATAAATTAAGAGCCAGTCTGGTCTAGTGGTTAAGGTGCTGGCCTAGAAACCAGGAGACAATGAGTTCCAGTCCTACCTTAGGCATGAAAACCAAATAGGTGACCTTCAGCCACTTATTCTGTATCAGTCCAACCCACCTCACAGAGTTGTCATTATGGGAAAAACAGGAGGAGGAAAGAATATTTATTATGTATGTTCACCACCTTGAGTTATTTATAAAAGTAATAAAGGCAGGATAAAACTAATAATCTTACATTTTTGTACTGCAAAAGGTATCTGCATTACAGAAAAACTGCTCATAAATATGTACAAGGACAAAACTCACCTTCAAGTGGGAAGCTGCAGTGTCCTGATCATAATGTCCCATCATATTAGGAAAAAATGTCATATTGTAAGTCATTCCAGAACATCTTGGGATAATAATAGGCTCACATGTGAACAAACTGTGTCCATAGGTCAAGTTTAAGATTAAACTCCAGATCAGAAGGAAAACAAGAACCCCCATCTTCCCAAATATTTCCAGCTTCACCATAAGGATTTGTTTTTTGGGGGAGTCCTGGTTTCTCTCTCAAGCAGATAACTGGCATTCAGAGATTACATTTGTTGTTTCTCTTTATATTTGCATCGGCAGCAGTGCTTTTAAAGATAACATTTTTCCCCCGACTGCAAACTGCAAAGCAACCAAAAAGAAGTTAATTGATAGCAGCTTTTAACCGCATCAGGAATCTGGTAAACATTAAACAAAAAATGAAAATCGTACTTTAGAACTGTAAGAAGACGCCAGACAAAAGAATACTGGATTTACTCTCTCTTCAACGAGGGAGCTCAGCTAAAAACCAGTTACTACCACAAAAAAAAAAAAAAACACAAGCCTCTGCATGTTTACTCAGCGGCATTCCACTGCATGCAGCGAGATACTCCCCGAGTGTTCAAGAAAGGCAGCCAGGCGGAGAAACTATTTGTTCCCAATAGTTACGCACGCAGGCTCCAAGCTGTAGCGAAGCACCATCCAAACTTTAAAATCAACCCGATTATCAAATGTAAAATCACTCGCAACTTCCCCACGGAGGTCACGGCAGCTTTATTGTTTTTGAGAGATATACTATCGATTGTCAACACAGACGCTCTTTTTTTGTCGTAACCCTCCGCACAGCCGGCCCGGGATTTGCGTAAAATAACCCCCCAAACTGTGGCTACCCAAACGGTTCCTCCTCCTCGCTCCAAGGATTCCCAAAGCTCTCCGTCCTCTCCCAATGCGCGCAAAGAGGCGCGCGTGAGAAAGGGAGATCCCAACTCTAAAAAGGAAAACTCCCCCACAAAACCAGGCTCGGGAGGCCGTTGCTCACTTCCTGCCGCAACTCTCCAGGCCACCTGCGACCCTTCAGCGCTGCGGGTCCTACCAGTTTTTCACGCCACTTACCGGACCCCCCGATGCGGGTCCACCATCCCCTGTAAAAAAAGCCTCAAGCGCAAAACTCTTCCAAGCGCACAAGCCGGGAGCCGCCGATGCGTGGCGGTTTCCCTTCCCCGCGTCTTAAAGGCGGAAAAAGAAAAGAAAAGAAAAGCGGGGCGAGTTTTTCAAGCCACCTCCTGCGAGCTGCGACCTCCCTCCCCTCCCCCCTTCTTCCCCAACAATCCGGAGGGGGAGCACGAAGAACGCCCCGCGACGTGAAGCCCAAAGCAATGGAGGAGAGCGAAGAAGCGCGGACGCAAAGCCGAGGGAGGTTTTTGAAGGTGGGATTCCCGTCCGCGGGAGGAAAACGCGGAGCCCCAACCAGGCCAGCCAACTCGGGCTCCGCCTCCCTTTCTGCCCATCCGTTCGTCCCCCCACCACTCCCGGGAGAGGGAAAAAAAAGTGCCAGCCGCCGTCCGGAAAGGCTGCGCCAAAGGGCCGCGCGCCGAGGCTCAGCGGGAGGCGAAGCCCGCGCGCCCCACCTCACCTGCGCCAGTCGGGGGGGAGGGGGGCGAGCGCCGCACCTGGCCGGCCTCGGGGAGGACATAGCCGCGCCGCCCCACTGCTCCCTTCGCCGGTAGGATGTGACTTCTTTTTTTTTTTTTCCGCCCCCTGCCGAAAGGAAACGAGGAGAATCGCGAGTCGCGCGATATTTGAACGGGCGGCGGGAGGGGGGGCCGCGTAGACACACCTTCCCCCCCCCCATCACCTGAATCTCCTCCCGCTTCCCTTTTCCCGGGCTGTTCCAAAGGCACATCCTTTCCTCCCACCCACCCCCACAACCACACCTGTGTGGATCCTCTGTGCGCGTGGCTGGAAAGATGAGGGTGCTTGTGTGGAGGGGTCCAGAGTAACATGTTTACCCTTTGCTTTTAAAAGAAATGAAAACTTTTCTCCAGCGGAAAGGTTCAGAAAGGTGAGGATTTAAATTCGGAGCTTTTATTCCGGCGGGGTTATTTTTCCTTATACTTATGTGAAAGCTGCAATTGGGAAATTGCAAGTTGGCAATGTAAATAGGAGTAAATAGTAATTAAAGGAAAAATAGTAGGAAAAATATGTGGTGCCAGTGCAAGTAAGACAAAGAGAAAGGAGTAGGATGCAGTAGTAAATCTGGCCCAATCTTTATTTATTTTATTTTATTTTATTTTATTTATTTATTTATTTATTTCGTCAAGCTTGTATTAAATAACAGATCTAACAGATCTAATCTCGTGGGATGGTAAATAGGTGCAGGGAAGTAAAGATGTAAGTGGAATTATGTGTGAAGGGGTAAACCATGTCTTAAAAATTGGTAGTCGTGATTGTGTCATCTTTTATTGTATAAAAGTAAGAATCCATAAATTAGTTGCATTACACACAATTGATTGGTGATAATGGAAGGACCAGCAATGCCTTTTGAAGACAGTTGTGTAACCTCCTGAATGACTGTGATCCAGCAGGAATTTTTCTTTCTATTAGATGACAAACTTGGAAGGATATAGAAAACAAAAATTGGGCCTCAAGAATGAAGGAGAATGGTGCCTGTTTGGTGGACATCTACTTAGATTTGTTGTTTTGAAAATAAAATTCAAGCATAAATCTGTTCATGTGTAGAAACAGAAATGGAACCGATCAATAAGTGATCTGATTGTAAAAAAATTTTTATAAAAAAATATTATAAAAAAAACAAGAGACTTTTGGGTGGATAATAGGAAAAATACTTATGAAGAAAAATAAAAGAAAATTTCCTTGCTTCCCCCCCTCCCCCCTTGTTGAAAATAATGATATATTGTTTAGAACACTAAGAATAGATGAAGAATAGATGGAGTGATCGGATTTTGTCAATGCCCGGAGTTGGGCTGTGTCAAAATCAAATAAACATCCGCAGTGTTGTCAGATGTGAGCGATTTCCCAGTTTCCTGTTCCCAGGGTAAATACTATCAAAGGAAAAACTATTGGAAAATTAATTTTAAATATTTTTAAAAGTCAAAATACCTGTCTATGGATTCTGGATAAAGTTTGCAAATTATTTCAAATTTGAACCATTATAAATTTACTGTTCATTGTTATAAAGTCATTTAGAATGTTATTAGAAACTGAAAATAACTAAAATTTAAATCTCAGAAAAAAGTCAGCAACAAATGTTTTTGTTGCTGTCATCATTATTACTGTGCAACTGAAACTATAATTCAAAATTTCTTTGTTGCTGGACCAGTTGTGACATAAACTTGTTACGTAGCCTTCAGCCAGACATACAAAAGCTGTGCTTTGCCTTTATGAAATGTAGATAGTCGTAATATTTAAAATTCTTGCAAGTGTTCATTAATGTAAGTAAATTGTGTTGAGAGGTGCACATAATTACAAGCTGAGAGTGAAAGCACTGAGACAATAGGATTGGTATCAGCACCTCTCCCAGAAAACATTCAGGGACTTCATTCCTCACTCTTATACCAAACATGGATAATTGAACTCCAGCAAGTAGAATGAAATGTTTCTAAGCAAGGTAATTTGCAGAGCCACAGAACCATGATAGCAATTCTCTCTTCAGGGTTTGTTAGCTTCAAGTCATTGCATGTACCGAACTGTACCAAAAACAACTTTTAAGATTGTTCAGTTGATAATCTAAGCATATAGAGCCCAGTTAAGTCACAGCAATTGGTCTACCATGACTGATCTAATTTTTTTTTAACTAATACAGGGGTGTTATACTCACGTCGTCACGGCAGCATCATGTGATGTATCAGGACTTTTTTCCCCTTCACTAAACCAGGCGTTGATGTGGCCAGCACATGATGCATCCGGCCCAGGGGCCGGGAGTTTGACAGCCCTGAACCAATACCTGGCTGGGAAGCCTTCAGAAAATGTCAATTCTGTGAGCTAGACTGGGAAGTTTTTTAAAAAAACCCTCTAGAAAGCAATAGCAGGCTATTTCTATATTACCAAGACTTTTGTAGTATATAGACAGTCAAGCACTTTGGTCTTTTTTTCTTTCCAGCCACCTAGAATACTACTACTACTACTACTACCACTACTACTACTACTACTACTTCTTCTTCTACAAATTCTACACTGAAAAGTTCCACAAGTTTGACAAAAATTTGCATGACACCATCTAGAAGTTCTTTACCCAATCATAGACATAACCATCTTGGACCAGGAGCCCCCCATCACAAAGCAAGAACATCCAATAGTAAACGAGCATAGGAAGGAAGATGGAAGAAAGGTAAAAGACATTAACTATATGGATAATGTTTGTAATTCTAGACCACAGGCTAACAGAAAAAGGCCTTCCTTATCTACGGAAAGTGGTGAGGCTCAGACGCTTGTGGTTAATTAACATCCCACAACCAGTCATACATGTTACAAACCAGTCACTTAGTCCATCTCTGGCTGTTTCCCTCCCAGGAGGACAGTGCCGGAGAGAGGGACCCCATACTTGCTCCATCTCAATTGCTCAAACAATCAAAGTTGTGGAAGGCTTTTCTTTTCTTTTCCCAGGTGGTCACAAGCACCAATAAAGCAGAGACCTTTCTAACAGTGTGCTCCCATGATGTACCAGAGAATGACCATCAAGGGGTAATAGGGATAATGAGCCCTGTCCTTATGTATGGAAAAGCCCATTCCCTGTCAAAAAACAATAATAAAAGACACACTACCCCTGCAAATAAGCTGACCCTTATCTACGTAGAAGGTGGTGTATATTATATTTTATAAACCTAGCCTATTGTGATTTAGTTAATAAACCCAGATTTAGCCTTAAGTGTGATCCGATTCACTGATTGCACTCCAAGTTCTTTTGTAAAAACTGAGAGAAAGTCGATTGTATTTAACTTTCAAACGCTGGAATTTTTCACAGATCCTTGACAATCTTACAGGTATGTACTTATCATTGGCCACTTGAATGCTGATATAAAAGGAATGTTATTTGCAATCAAGAATTTATTTAAAAGAGGAATGCAGGCCAGGGAGCTCAAATAATTGGCTTCAAATGACTGCAACAGTTCAGTCTTCCTGGAGGCTACTTAAAGACTGCTATGATCACTTAACAGATATTAAAATTGCTCATTTTAAAAATATTTTGTGACTCACATAACATGCCTATTATACTGTCTTAGCATTCTTTCTCAACCAAATGTCCTTCAAATATATTAAAATACACACCTCACTGTTCCCAGCCTATTGTGATTTAGTATGTGATTTAGCCAGTATGGCTAAGAAATAAGGCTAGCATAGATGATGGAAGTTTGTATTCCAGTATATCCAGAAGGCTGAATCAAAGTGATATAACTCTTATATTAAATAAAACACTAATTTGATCATTTCTTCACCAGAGGATGACACCACCCTTATACAGCTATGTAAAATCAGGAATCTGATAGCACCTTTTCTGACTAACAAATTTTACTAAAAGGCGTAAGCTTTTGTGGATTGCAGTTCAGTTCATGAAGTTGCTAGCCAAGCATCTCTCAACCTTGACAAGTTGAAGATGTTTGGACTTCAACTCCCAGAATTTCCTAGCCATCATGCTGAGTAAGTCTGGGAACTGAAGTCAGCATCTTTAAATTGGCAGGACTAGACGTATGTAGGATTTAAATTTGGGTGATGTGGGGGAAAGGGGAGGAGCAATGTATTGGGGGTACATCAGTCTAGGCATTCAGTCTAGGCATGCAGAAGCAGCTTCACTTCAGATTTATAGCATAGGTTTTATGTATGAATTTCCCATGTGTGCATAAACCTTAATTATGCAGGATTTTTGACCAACAGAGAATCTGTATGCATATAAACAGGCATAGACAGGCAGGCATTTAAATGCCCCAATGTAAAGAGCAGACATAAGAGTATTGAGTATGTTAATATTGCAGTTACGGAGTGTGCAATTGCCAGCTCGCTCTCTTATGTTCAGTCAATTTTGGAGGCCTCCACAGTGGTACTTCATCATTTGTTCTGGAATTCAATGTCTGATAAATAGGTTACTAAATTTAATGAGACTTAAGAGGCTCACCTGTGAACAGATTACAGTCTAGGTTAGCAGATAAGGGGTGATCTATAGAAAACCAGACACTGTATACTTGCTCAGAAGCAACTGAGACTTATTCCTAGGAAAATGAAAATAATTAATGCATGCTGAGTGCAAGCTTTATTGAAGCATCAGGGCTCCTTTCTAATTACCGGTAGGTATATTACACACACACATACGCACACCATTTGAATTAAAGCTTGGGTGTACATAAGTAATGCCAAGAATGATTCAAAGGTTATTTTCACTTATGCAATCCTGCAGTGCTATAATTAAGACTAAAAACTGAATATAGATTTCAAAACACTGGATTTCTGTATCAAGCAATTTCTTTTAATAGTTCACATTTTTCTAGTTACATTTCCAAAACGTCTCTCTTCTGTGTTAATTAAGGTTCTCATTCAATACATTGATAATTGTTCAGCTTTGATTCTCTCCAGTAATCTGGTCACTTAATTTGTTTACTGATTTATATTTTATTAATTTATAGATTAGACTTCTGCTTGGAAAATTTAGCCTTGCTGTAAAACAGCTCTGCTTCTCCATTGAAATTAGAGACTCGAATATAGTATATACATTTTTTCTCTTTTGAAAAGACACAATCAAGGGATAATTCTCCACCCCACCCCTCTATTTGAAGCTCTTATTAAGTGTACAGTGCGTTAAAAAGGATTTTTACCACAAGGGCAGGAATTAAACATTTGGGGAAGTGTATATTATGCAAATGTGAAAAATGGAAATTCATGAACAAATATGCACTTCCCTCACACTGTCACATGTAATTTCATCCTAAAACTTACTTTTTCGTGCTGTGACCATCAAAAATATCTTCTATCACTATTAAGCATTTTGAACTTTACATCAGTTGCCCTTCAAGTGAAATCAAACTATCTTTCTATATTGTCATATTTAGTCAATTTTTAAAATCTGTTTTAAATCCCATATGGCAGGAGTCCCCAACCCCCCGTCCGTGGACTGGCACCACTCCGAGGCATGCCAGAAACCAGGCTGCACAAACAAGTGAAGCCCTATCCACGGAATGCAAGCAGCACACGAAACCATGTCACTGCTATATGGCACTCTTGAGTTCTTTTTGAATTGTGTAGTCTTACAAAAACAACAAATAAATAAACAATGCATTTGGCATAATTTTACTATTTTATAGCAGCATGATTTTCAGCAGGAATAAATGTGCCAATGTGAAACTCAAGACTTTCAGTCAGGCTTTTTGTTATCAAAATAATATCAAAGCTGAGCTTTGATCACACGGTCAGATGAAATTTTCCTCGTTATCAATGCAGAGAGCACCTGCTTTCTGAACCATAGAAAAATGGTTAGAAAATCAGAAAACGTCCGCCCCAATATTGGTGGATACAGGTTATTTCAACTTTGAATATAATTCACAGTTTGTTGCAATTCTTCCTTTTCATTTCATGCCAGGGAACTTTGTGAGAATTATTCTTGAAAACGAATCACTTGTGGTTTTAGACAGCTGCCAATGAGACTGACAGTTGAATTAGGCCTGTCCTGTGTGGCACACTGTGTGGTGCACACGCCACATTGTGGCACATTGGCAGAGGGAATTGATTTTCCCGAAAAATGAGTATTAACTATTATAGCACAACAACCCAGTGCAAGCTTCCTATATGGCCAAGCAGGATACTGCATTCTTAAATGTTTTACACCTGTCACACAGTTATTTACAGTGACACAATTTTGAGCCATCTATTTTAGGTAGCAGCAAGTTATCTGTCATAGTACAGTAGAACTCTCTTGTGGTATATCAGCACATTAATGACAGGATCACGAGGGGTGCTATTTTGCATACAGCGATTGCTGTGATCACATTTTGGTTTCAGATAATAAACATTTAATATTAAAATTGAATTAATCTAGATGATAACTGTGCACCATCAGAAGAGCTGAAGAACCAGGCCAGGATCATCCTGGGAAAAATTTTGTCTTTGTGGTCTCTTAAGAGTCCACACTAGCCCTAATTTCTGAGAAGTTTTTCTAGCGTCCCTGGATCATTTGATTTATATTTTTCTTCATAGGAAATTAACTTAAGTTACCATGAGTTAGTTACTTAGCTAGTGGCAAAGTAAAAATCAAACCAGTTACTTCCTAATTGATGGCCAAGCTCATCAAGTACAGGACAAGAAAAAGTATTCAAGCTTCCAGTGCTGACAGAACTGCAGAGCTAATAAAAGTCCATCGTTTTTCCAAAGGCACTCAGCATCAGTTGTCCGCCACATTCAGCATAACATCAGCGTTGAAATTCCAGATCCCTGCATTATGCAGTCAGGTAAAGTGCAGCAAGATATTGCAGAATTCATTCACCTTTTTTCAGTGCTTCCTTAATTGATACCGTTCTTTGCGACTCTTCTGTTGCTATTTATTTGTTTGTATTTGTCTGTTTTGGCAGTGTTACTACTAACTTCTTTTGTAGCTCTTTTTTTGTCCCATTTAACCTGTTTGAAAAGGAGTTTATAAAATATAATTTATGCTTAGAATATATTCTGTAGAAGTAACTCGCTTAAACAGGGAAACAAGATTGGAGAACAGTTTTAAAAAAGAGACTGATTAAATAGTATTCCTAACAGCACTAGAATTTGAATGATTCCTAGGTTCTAGTCTTAAATTAGGTATCATAACCTATTAATATAATTATTTCAATTCAAAATTTGCAAAAATCAAACCTAAAACAAACTGACAATTTTCTGAGTGGGCATGGGAGAATGAAAGCTATAAAAGATGTGGAGCTTTTTAGTTCAGAAAACAATCACAGAATGTAAAAAGTTACCAGGGACCTCAAATATCATCTAGTCTAGCCCAGTGCAGTACTACTATAGGTAGTCCTCGACTTAACGACCACAATTGAGCCCAAAATTTGTGTTGCTAAGTGAGACATTTGTTAAATGAGTTTTGTCCCATTTTACGACCTTTCGTGTCACAGTTGCTAAGTTGAATCACTGCAGTTATTACATTTAGTAACGTAACGCAGTTGTTAATTGAATCTGGCTTTCTCATTGACTTTGTTTGTGAGAAGGTCGCTAAAGATGATCACATAACACTGCAAACATCATAAATATGAGTCAGTTGCCAAGCATCTGAATTTTGCTCATGTGACCATAGAGATGCTGCAATGGTCATAAGTGTGAAAAATGGTTGTAAGTCACTTCTTTCAGTGCCGTTGTAACTTCAAACCATCACTAAATGAACTGTTGTAAGTCGAGGACCACCTATACATCATACCTCAGAGATGACTAACTGGGCTTTTAAAATTATCTTTAAAGTCACTTCTTCACAAGCAATTTGGCTTCAAAGTAATTGAACTTAGGTCTCAGACATCAAGCAATATGTTCTAATAGTAACACTTATTCATCAAACTGTTACTATTAGAACATATTGCTTGATGTCTAACTGAGATCTACTTACATATTATTATGTAAATAACCTATTATCTCTTGCTTTGTCTTCTCAAACAGCTCTGAAGAATTCCTCAGAAGGATATGCTAATCCCTCAGAGAGTAGGACTATAGTAAGACTATAGTAGAAGACAATTATCATGTCTTTTCACAGCCTTTTTTCTGCAGACTAAACACATTCAATGGCTTCCAAGCATTCTCCCTATCATTTCCTTTCCAGCCTTCTTAACATCTTGGTTGCTCTCAATAAATAACTGTACAAGATGGTAAAAGAGCAATCAATACTTATAAATGGAAATAGTTTATGGGGAGAATAAATAACATTTTTCCCACCCCTTCCTTCAATAATGTCAAGGATGCACTGCATAATGCCATTCTTAGAAAATGGAATGGCTCAGCATTTTAACACATTTAGAATCATACTATATTCTCGATCCGCCTGAAAACATTATGTGTGACAAGGCTTTGCTGTTTAGTCCTCTGAAGAAAAAAAACAGAGTTTTTATACAAATTAATTCTAACTGAATCTGGCTATAATAGTGGAGAAAATTAACCCTTTGCCTCCTTCATCCTGAGAAGATCTGAACATAAAGGATAATTGTGGAGAGAGGGAGAAATGCCTAGCTGAATACTTTTCTTCCTTAAAACTGCAGAAATACTGTAGAGCTTAATTGCACTTGAGTAAAGGCCCTTCTGCAGGATTGTTCTGCACCATTTGAGGATTGACTGGTGTCACACTACCACCTGTTTCAGGGAGCTACGTCTATTGTTTCTCTGCACCAGTTGATTGGCAGCTGCAATAAAGGTGGTGGGTTTTGTAAATGACTATTGCTCTAAGGACCTTGCTGTATGTATTGATGCCAATTGTTGGTACCAATTTTCACACTGGCAGAAATTTTTGCTTCATTCTGCCTCCCGACTCCTGGCCTCAAGACAGCCATCATTCTCTTCTCATCCTTGACTTCCTGCTCTTAAAAGGTTTGGGATCCTGCTCCTGGACCTTGTGTTTTGCCATCTGTGTTGTTTAGAACTTGCCTTCTCTACTCCCTCAATCCAGTTGCTATAGCAACATAAAACCACATCACGAAGTACCTAATGGCAAAATTGTTTTACCTTTAGAATTCACAAAGGTTTTTAAACACAGTAGTGGAACAGCAGTGAGGGTAGTCAGGAAGCCTTTGAATTTGGTTTAGGTTTTGTACAATTAATATTTCGCCACATAAACAGAATGTAATCCTACACTCACCTCTGAGGTTTTAAAGCTATTTTGTGGCTTCTGGGCTGCATTTCCAGTGGTGTGAGTTGATAATTTTGTACACTGTGTAGCACAATGAGCTCTTTTTTCAGGAATAGCCGTGCCACTTGAAATTGAAGATTTTGCCATGCAGGTCTGGGTTGATTTGCTGTCCTCTAAAAGTCCTGAAAACACAAAATTGCAGAGTGAAAGCCAAAATATTTGTTACTAGTTTACATATGGTATTCTTCAGCTGAAAAGAAAATTGACAAAATTATTCTGTTTTATAAAAGAATGTTTTGTCCATGATAAAATTAACATAAGATTCATTACATTACATTTACATATTCTTATAGCTCTTCTCCCCTTCATATGTAGACGCCAAGTGTTTGCATAGATATTTGCCTATTGACTTAGCAAATGATAAGAAATGACTTAGCCAAGTGAGATAGCAATAGCAATAAGACCTATATACCGCTTTACAACCCTCTCTATGCGGTTTACAGAATCAGCATATTGTTCTCAGCAATTTGGCTCCTCATTTTACCCACCTCGGAAGGATGGAAGGCTGAGTCAACCTCCTGAAATTCTAGGGTATTTGTAAAAACAAAACAAAACTTTGTGATCCAAAATTTGGGATGGTGCGCACTTCACACAGTAACAGAAATAAGCTTCTCCTCGTCTTTGGAACAGAAGGATGGTCTCCTGGTAGAAAACCACTCCCCACGGACATGTTTACAGCAGTGAAGACAGATTTTAAAATCTCTTGAGAGGAAAGACTGAGGCCATTCCATACTCTCTGAAAATAAGAACAACTCTTGCAAAGACAGTGGCCTTTTCAATATGTATATACATGCCATCCATGCTCCAACACTGTTGAAGGGCTTGGAAAGAATAGAGGCAAAACAATACAAGGTCATCCTTGACTTACAACCACAACCAAATATTTCCATTGCCAAGCAAGGCAGTTGTTAAGTTTGCCCCATTTTATTACCTTTTTTGCCACCGTTGTTAAGTGAATCGCTGCTGTTGTTAAGTGAATTGTGTGGCCATTAAGTGAATCTGGCTTCTCACATTGACTTTGCTTTTCAGAATCCAGCTTGGTAGTTTACAAATGGTGAACACGTGACCCCGAGACAACGCAACTGTCATAAATACATGCCAGTTGCCAAGCCTACATTTTGATCACGTGATCGTCAGGAAGGCTGCAACAGTCACAAGTGTGAAAACTGGCCATAAGTCACTTTTTTCAGCGCCACTTTAACTTCAAGCAGTCACCATTCAAAACAAATGAATGGTTGTAAGTCAAGGACTACCTGAACTGTTATTCAAAAGAAAAGACAATAGAACAATTCGTAAAAACAACAAGTTGGGGCAAAAGACTTTGTCCCTGTGCATTACCAAAAAAAAAAAAAAAAAGATCCTTTGGAAGCACACCAGGTGTATTTATCCACTTAGTCAACAGAAAAACAAGGTCAGCAATTTGCAGTCAAGTAGGTATTGATCAAATGGCTTTGACATTAACATGGAGAACGCCATGCGAGAACTGGAGAAGAAATGGACAGACAGAGCTGCTATATTTTCTTATAAAATACTTGACCAGGAGGGCAGAAAACAATGAAAACCAGTCAAATGGCAGTCAGAACATTGAGATATACCCAGGAAATAAATAAAACCAAATAATTATGCTTGAGAACATAAGAAAAGTCAAAAGATAATGAAAGCCAGAGCTTTGAGATCAAAATCTACAGTGTGTCAAACTCAAGGCCCACAAGGTGCTTAGATCTGGCCTGTGGGGCCACCCTGGAAACAATGAAGGACCAGCCCACAATGCCTCTGCCAGCGAAAACAGAGCTCGGAAGGGCCACACGTGGCCCTCCCGGGCTGTTTTCGCTGGCAGAGGGCTGCAGCACATTGACCTCGCCATGTCCATTCCGGCCACGCCAACTCGGCCTCCTGAAGTCAAACACAACCCTGATGCGGCCCTCAATGAAATCGAGTTTGACATCCATGTGCTTCAGCAACAATCAGTACAGTAGGACTGTTTTGTCCCCAGAGCATTTGGTGCTCTGGTAGGATGGGTTAATTTCTTTTTGTTTAGCTAGCTTATAAGTAAGCTTGGCAACCCTGACCTTGCTGGCCAAAGGAGGTGCAGCATGTTCCCTTCATAGGGAAGTGTTTAAGGATTATTACTTACTTTCCCTTTTCCTGTCTCGTCACTTCTGTTACAAGTATTGATGGGAAAGAGAAGGGAAGTGAGGCCATTCCATCCTCCATCTTCCATTCAGAGAAGCCACTCGAGAGTTTTTCAGCTGCAATCCAACCCATCTGAGAGTCTTATGGGTGAGTAACGTATCCTGACACACCTTTAGGCAGTTTAAGCCCTGAGGGGGTATAGGGGTTTAATATGTTTTTGGCCTAGACCAGCGGTCACCAACTGGTGGTCCATGGACCACTGGTGGGCCACGAGAAAATTTTGGTGGTCCACAGAGAAATTATTCACATTTTTTATATTGCACTTAATCAGGGATCTTCGGCCCCTAGGACAGATACGTGCAATCAGCGTTCGTGTTGCTACAGAGAGTCTCCCCCTTTGGGGTCTTTTTGTGTAGGTTGGAGGGGGACAGAAATTCCGCCTTGGGGTCTGCTTCAGCCTCCTGCTGTGGGGTTTTGGGCGAAGACTGGAGGGAAGTGCTGCTGATGGCAAAGAGCCGGAGGACCTTGTTCCAGTGAGACTACATCATGACCTGGAACTGGCTGACCATTTCAGCCCGCTGAGCCTCCAGGTGCCTGTACCTGGCCTTGCACTCCCACAGGTCTTCCCTCTACTTGGAAAGCCTATGCTCATAGTCCTCAGTGAGGTGCTTCTGCTAAGCCTCCTTCTTGGCCAGATCCAATTTGAAATGAGCTGTTTTGCCAACTCTTTCTGATGGTGGCTGCTTAGCTCCAACAACTGCTTTTTGTTGGGGCCCTAAAGAGCCCGGGGGGGAGGCGAGGAGTGGCTGGGAAGGGAGGGGTGAGTAGAGGCTGGCGAGGTGCCCCCAACGTGAGTGACATCGAGTTGGCCACACCCACCCAGTCACATGACCACATAGCCATGCCCACCCAGCTGGTCATTAGGCAGATCACATTAGTGGTCCGCGGGATTTAAAATTATGTATGTAGTGGTCCCTGAGGTCTGAAAGGTTGGTGACCTCTGGCCTAGACAGTAAGTAGGCCACATTGTAGCCAGGAGCACATGGCCTCTTCTATGGAGCATGGCTGCTAATTATTATGTAATCATGTTGTAATCATGCCATTGTTAATTTTCTCCTAATTTTACCGGATCTTGCAGTGTTGAGTAAAGTTTAGTTGATGGAATACTGTCTCCTTTATTGAATGGCAAGAAATGTTAACTGCCTGGATTGCTTTCCATAGAACCACATGGTTCCCGAGTAGCGAGTCCAGGACAAGGACACTTCAACAGCATAAATTGAGTATTATTTCAGGACTTTAGTCTTCTAATGGGATGGAAGAGCTGGTACCTCTTCACAGCTAATTCTCAGGACAAGCTGGGGGCAAATTCTCCTCCAGAAGTAGCAATAACTGGAGATATGATGCCAGAACTCGCATCTCTGGTCCTAGGCTCTAAGAACAGAAATACAGGTAGTCCTCGGCTTACAACAATTCATTTAGTGACCGTTCAAAGTTTCAACAGCACTGAAAAAAGTGACTTATAACCATTTTTCACACCATTGCAGCATCCCCATGTTCATGTGATCAAAATTCGGATGCTTGGCAACTGGTTCATATTTATGACGGTTGCAGTGTCCCAGGATCATGTGAACAGCTTTTGCAGCCTTCCGACAAAGTCAATGGGGAAACCAGATTCACTTAACAACTGTGTTACTAACTTATCAACTGCAGTGATTCACTTAACAGCTGTGGCTAGAAAAATCATAAAATAGGGCAAAACTCACTTAACAACATAAATTTTGGGCTCAATTCAGAGGTGGGCTGCTGGGGGTTCGCAGGGGTTCAGGAGAACCTCTAGCTAAGATTCTGTGCAGTTCGGAGAAGCCCCAAATCCCACTCCTTGCTGGCCCCACCCGTCCTGCTCCACCCAGGAGTCCCCACACAGCCCGTTTTGGATGCAGGTAAGTGCAGGGTGTGCACGGAGCAGGGCCGGATTTTCCTATAGGCTAACTAGGCTTCAGCCTAGGGCCTCAAGATCAAGAGGGGCCTACATTCAAATTGTTAGCAAAATTAAAATTACACTTTCACTATAGGTGAAAGGGCCTCATAAGTGGAATAGCCTAGGGCCTCTTTTCATCTAAATCCAGCCCTGGCACGGAGGCTGAGGGAAGGTAAAAAACGGGCCTACCGAAAGTTTGGGAAGGCCGGAAACGGGCCCGTTTCCAGCTTCCGGAGTCTGGGGAGGCTGTTGTCACCCTCCCGGAGGCTCAAGGAAAGCCTCCAGAGCCCGGGGGAACAAAAACACCCTACCCCCCACCGTTGTGCAGGAGGCTGACTAGGCCACACCCACCATGGCCACGCCCACCCAGCAACTGGGCAGAGAACCCCTTCCTAAAATTTTTGAAGCCCATCCCTGGCTCAATTGTGGTTGAAATTTGAGGACTACTTGTACAGTAAGCTGACTAAGAGCCGACAAGAGGCATACTATCCATCCTCAGTGCTGTTCACTCAGCAGATCCTGAATTTTCATCGTTTGGTTCCTGAATTATTTGCCTTCAATTTTTGTTCCACCTTAGCACCTTTTGTTCCCCTGCCTCTAGATCCTGATCACTACCCTGAGATTTCTGAAGGACACCAACAATATTTCTAATGTAAGCTCCTTTTGTTCCCTGCTTCTTCCTTTTGGTTCCTCTCGACTCCAACCTCCTCCTCATCAGACAGTTTTCTAGCTATTCTAACTATAAAATGTATAAAGATGATTTCATGGCCAAATACAGTAACTCAACAATTTAGCAAGAATAAAAAAAATAAAATTTTGTGGAAAGACTCAAAATTCATAACACACTGGCAGTCAGTCAAATGTGGTGGTTAGCAAGAGCCATTTCTAGAGCCCGCGTGGTGCTCAAAGGACAGGACAATAAGGTATAGAAAATTATGCTTTGTACATATCTGTGAATCATGATGACCACATGAAAAATTTAGAGCAATTTTGAGAGTGACTCATGCTGCG